ATATGTAGTTGTGTTATATACAAGTTGTTTTACGTAGTTGTGTTATATACAAGTTGTTATATGTAGTTGTGTTATATACAAGTTGTTATATGTAGTTGTGTTGTATACAAGTTGTTTTACGTAGTTGTTTTGTACAGTTGTTATATGTAGTTGTGTTATATACAAGTTGTTATATAGAAGTTGTTTTATGTAGTTATGTTATGAAAGTTTTAAGTATGAATGAATATAAATCTTTCACTTGTGAGCTAAAGTTAACTTTCTTAGACGTTTGTTGAAAGATATGTTGGTCAAATTTGGACAATGTATAATTTGTAAGATTTATTCATTAACTATAAATTAACAAATTTTGCTAATCTTACTTTTGTTCTTATTTTAGCCATTTGGAAGGATGTATAACGGTAAGTTAAGACTAGTATAGATCTGTTAAGATTATAAGACTAGTATTGATCTGTTGGAGTATAATAGTGTTTGATGAATTTCTGATCATGTATAATGATAAGTTAAGACTAGTATTGATCTGTTGGAGTATAATAGTGTTTGATGAATTTCTGATCATGTATAATGATAAGTTAAGACTAGTATAGATCTGTTAAGAGCATAATAGTGTTTGATGAATTTCTCATCATGTATAAATAAGTTAAGACTAGTATAGATCTGTTAGAGCATAATAGTGTTTGATGAATTTCTGATCATGTATAAATAAGTTAAGACTAGTATAGATCTGTTAGAGCATAATAGTGTTTGATGAATTTCTCATCATGTATAAATAAGTTAAGACTAGTATAGATCTGTTAGAGCATAATAGTGTTTGATGAATTTCTGATCATGTATAAATAAGTTAAGACTAGTATAGATCTTTTAGAGCATAATAGTGTTTGATGAATTTCTGATCATGTATAATGATAAGTTAAGACTAGTATAGATCTGTTAGAGCATAATAGTGTTTGATTCATTTCTGATCAAATGTTTAATATTTCTTGTTATGAGTATTAGCAATTTTTGATTTATCAAAAATTAATGTTTTATAACATAGAAATATTCTCTTATTTTTTTCCTTTCATTGCCTTACTAGATTTTTGTGAGGTACGTATTATTTTTAATTTTCACAACTGTTTTAAAAGATTCTTTACAATAATAGGATATCAGTCTTTAAGAAGATTGTTATCAAGTGTTCTTTTATGTATGGCAAGACAGTCCTATGGAAAGAGTTTTGTCTTTAATGGACTGCTCCTGCCTGTTTTTGAGTGAAACATCGTCTTTCTACATACAGGTCGTAGTCCATAAAAGTAAAAACTTCTGTGTTTACACTGTATAAAACATCCTTAAAACAGCAGTCCCACACACAGTTGATAACTAATTTTATGTTTAGATGTTCAGTGATTGTAATACATACTTTATAATTGCTTTTGACCAATCAAAATTGTATCAAAATAATAACCACAAAGTAGTTTTATATGATTACTACTGTAAGGATAACCACAAAGTAGTTTCATGTGATTACTACTATAGGGATAACCACAAAGTAGTTTCATGTGATTACTACTATAGGGATAACCACAAAGTAGTTTTATGTGATTTATTACTATAGCAATAACCACAAAGTAGTTTCATGTGATTACTACTGTAAGGATAACCACAAAGTAGTTTCATGTGATTACTACTGTAAGGATAACCACAAAGTAGTTTCATGTGATTACTACTGTAAGGATAACCACAAAGTAGTTTCATGTGATTACTACTATAGGGATAACCACAAAGTAGTTTCATGTGATTACTACTGTAAGGATAACCACAAAGTAGTTTCATGTGATTACTACTATAGGGATAACCACAAAGTAGTTTTATATGATTACTACTATAGGGATAACCACAAAGTAGTTTTATATGATTACTACTATAGGGATAACCACAAAGTAGTTTTATGTTATTACTACTGTAGGGATAACCACAGCTAGTTATTATATATTCTCTGATCCTTTATTAGTTTTATCACATGAGTCCTGTATCAGTTTTACTGCTCATGATAATATGAATCACCTCCTCCACTTCCAGAATAAGCTCTTTTGTCTTTGAAATATGATGATATCTTGACATTAATTTATATTAATTGGTTTATGATATGTTTCTATCTGTATTTTTACACAGTATTTGTTTGTTATTTATTTAGTTTCATAAATCTTTAGGCCAAATAAAAAGTACAGTCGTTGATATTAAACACATTTTTACCTGGGTCACAACTTTCCAAAATTGATTAATAACAGTGTCTCTTAAAAATCAAATACCTTTAAGATGATACTTGGTTAGTAATTATGTAAAAGTCTCATTAAAATATTAAGGCTATATTTCCTCTCATTAGAATCAATACAATTGGTGCCAAATGGGACCATCATTTATCAGAATGGCATACCTTGTACTTATCATAATGGAATGGCTTTCTACTCACCTCCCGATTCACTTTATCAAGTGCCACAACAACAGGTAAGTTTTTGCTGTTGGTTGTTCAACTTCTCACTTCTTATACTGTGTATTTTTTATTTTTTCACTTGAGCATAACATTCACAATTTAATCACCTCTGTTGGTCATTATATTTCTCTCTTTAGGCTGTATATTTCAGCCATTTTGACTTTTTTTTTGCTGTAGTATTGTAGTAAAAATGCTAGATAAACTACTAGGATCTGTTATCTGTAAGACTGTAGTTAAAACACTAGATAAACTAAGTTCTGTTAGCTGTAAGACTGTAGTTAAAACACTAGATAAGCTAAGTTCTGTTAGCTATAAGACTGTAGTTAAAACACTAGATAAACTACTAGGATCTGTTATCTGTAAGACTGTAGTTAAAACACTAGATAAACTACTAGGATCTGTTATCTGTAAGACTGTAGTTAAAACACTAGATAAACTAAGTTCTGTTATCTGTAAGACTGTAGTTAAAACACTAGATAAACTAAGATCTGTTAGCTGTAAGACTGTAGTTAAAACACTAGATAAACTAAGTTCTGTTAGCTGTAAGACTGTAGTTAAAACACTAGATAAACTAAGTTCTGTTAGCTGTAAGACTGTAGTTAAAACACTAGATAAGCTACTAGGAACTGTTAGCTGTAAGACTGTGGTTAAAACACTAGATAAACTAAGTTCTGTTAGCTGTAAGACTGTGGTTAAAACACTAGATAAACTACTAGAAACTGTTAGCTGTAGTAATCACCAGGTGAACTACTAAAATAACAGAACTGTATATAAGAATCTTGCTCTTAAGAAAATAGATATTTGGCTGACCTCAGTGTTAGTTGTAGATTGACTGTTCTTGGATTACCATCAAATAGTTCTTTCCATTTTCACCATTAGTTAATTGAGTATATGCATTTAATAAGATTGTTTATAATGTTAAAGGCAGCCTGCCCCATGGTGTATGGACAGCCAGTGTATGTACCTCCACAGCAGTACCAGTATCAGCCTACAGTAAGTATGAAATATTTTAATTAATATATTCTGTAAGTTAGTTATAAGGTAGTATACTGTGAGTAGTAGGTCTTCAGCATTCAAAACTTCATGAAGTATAATTCCATTTCATCATATTTATAATAAAAAGTATGGTAGAACTGATGTTTTAGGATTATACAATCCTTAATCTTTATCTTGTTCATTTTATAACTATATATTCAAGAAATGTTCAAACCCACATATGTATTTTGTGTCTAAGAGACTGGTCCCGACACATTGAACTTTTTGATTTGTTTTTGTTGACTCCAGATCGTATTGTCATTTTTTCTAACAAGATTTGAATATTTTTAGTTTGGCAAAATATTATAATACTACGCTTGACAAAGGACGTGTAAGTCATGCTGTACATTACAGCTTGTGGATCGATACGTGTAAGTCACGCTGTACATTACGGCTTGTGGATCGATACGTGTAAGTCACGCTGTACATTACGGCTTGTGGATCGATACGTGTAAGTCACGCTGTACATTACGGCTTGTGGATCGATACGTGTAAGTCACGCTGTACATTACGGCTTGTGGATCGATACGTGTAAGTCACGCTGTACATTACGGCTTGTGGATCGATACGTGTAAGTCACGCTGTACATTACAGCTCGTGGATCGATACGTGTAAGTCACGCTGTACATTACGGCTTGTGGATCGATACGTGTAAGTCACGCTGTACATTACAGCTCGTGGATCGATACGTGTAAGTCACGCTGTACATTACAGCTCGTGGATCGATACGTGTAAGTCACGCTGTACATTACGGCTTGTGGATCGATACGTGTAAGTCACGCTGTACATTATGGCTTGTGGATCGATACGTGTAAGTCTCGCTGTACATTACGGCTTGTGGATCGATACGTGTAAGTCTCGCTGTACATTACGGCTTGTGGATCGATACGTGTAAGTCTCGCTGTACATTACAGCTTGTGGATCGATACGTATAAGTCACGCTGTACATTACAGCTTTCTCTCACTCAATCTGTTGGTTAGTTTCCACTAAATGTCTTAGCCAAACAATTTTGAATAGAAAAAGTGGAGTACATTCTCACCCCATGTGATGTATTCCAGGAAAAGTACAGAAATATAAAATTCTGGTCTTCTATTGTTGAAAGGCCCTTAAATTTTCTTTCAGTGATGTAATTCTGGGAAGAAAAAAAATCTTGGTATTGTTTTAATCGTTTATTGGCATTTTACCTACTCTCATCAAATCTTTGTTAGCTACAGTTGAGTTGGTGAATGAGCATCTAGAAAATGAGTTGACAAGTTTAATTGTTAACAGTGAAATGGATATAAAAAATAGTATGACATTTTTCACTGTAGTCAAGTTTAACATTTTCATGATCAATCATTCTGGATTAGTCTGTAATATGATTTTTTTTCTTCCAATATTCAGTATTTGGTTTATTTGAATATTTATTGATTTTTTTGTTCTACTGAATTATAATGTGATGTGTATGTATATATATTATAATATACTTTGTATATTTTATTCTCTGGCTTTCTTGTAAGAATAAATTAAAAGAAATAAAAAAAAAAGAGTACTGGTGAGCTGGTTCTAGAGTCTGTTGTAGAGAGCCCTGGTAAAAGTTTTGTAGCAGTTAACTGACTTTTTTTTTCAATTCATAATTACTAAAAATACCATTCACCATCAGGCAAGATCTTATGAATCCTTTCATTCAGTAATATGGAGACATTGTCAGTAATATTGGTTGATAATTGATCAATATCCTGTAGATTTGAAACTTTAACTGGTAGCTAACCTCCTTTACTGGTCATCATGACTGCTACTTGATCTGTTTTTTGCAATTATTATTGCATTATTTATTTTAACCTTTAAAGGCACTACAAGCTGTAATTATTAAACTATTTTTCAAGTATGTTACTCACACTTAGCAGATTTTTTTCTTTGAATGATAAATAAGTGAAGATTTAAAACAAGATCTTTTATTTCTCAAATCCATTAACTATATATTTAATATGTATGTTAATTTTTTTTTCAAAAACTAGAAAATCCTTGTAATATTTTAAAACTACTTTTGACAGTTGTATTATTATCATTATTATGTTTCAGATGTCTCCACAGTGGGCAGCCAGTAATCCGTGGCGGTTGACTCCTACAGTGAGTTTAGTTTTATAAACGTTTTGCTTCTTTGCATGAAGAGTTATTGTCTCTGCAGGGTATTTGTTCGAGTTGTACTAAACATATGTATAATCATGAATATCCAGTTGTGAACCATGATTTACCAGAGTTTGAAGTGTTGATAAGTTTCTAAAAGACAAACTGTTATTAATCATTGTAAGGCAATATGACTAAGTTTAATCATGTTCTGTCACAAACAGTAATACATACCAACTTTCAACATTCATCTCTTACCTCATGCTTCAGTAACAGAACTAGTTTTGTTTGTCTGATAGTGTGGGAAGGCCATGTAGAAACATGGAAACTATTTGTGTTACCAAATGTTAGCTTACAGGTTATATCTGTGATAGTGTTTGACAGTTATATAGAAACATGAAAACTATTTGTGTTACTAAATGTTAGCTTACAGGTTATATCTATGGTAGAGTGTTTGACAGTTATATAGAAACATGGAAACTATTTGTGTTACTAAATGTTAGCTTACAGGTTATATCTGTGGTAGAGTGTTTGGCAGTTATATAGAAACATGAAACTATTTATGTTACTAAATGTTAGGTTATGGGTTATGTCTGTGATAAAGCATTAGGAGTCAATAAAGAAATGGAGACTTTTAATTTTATTAGAAGCTAACCTAGGATGTAGACAGATGTACTAGCCTTTTAGGTTTCACTAGAAGCTAACCTAGGATATAGACAGGTGTACTAGCCTTTTAGGTTTCACTAGAAGCTAACCTAGGATATAGACAGGTCTATCTAGAATCAATGATATACACAGGTGTACTAGCCTTTTAGGTTTCACTAGAAGCTAACCTAGGATATAGACAGGTGTACTAGCATTTTAGGTTTCACTAGAAGCTAACCTAGGATATAGATAGGTCTATCTAGAATCAATGATATACACAGGGTACAGGCCTTTTAGGTTTCACTAGAAGCTAATCTAGGATATAGATAGCTCTATCTAAAATCAATGATATACACAGGGTACTAGCATTTTAGGTTTCACTAGAAGCTAACCTAGGATATAGACAGGTCTATCTAGAATCAATGATATACACAGGTGTACAAGCCTTTTAGGTTTCACTAGAAGCTAACCTAGGATATAGACAGGTCTATCTAGAATCAATGATATACACAGGTGTACTAGCCTTTTAGGTTTCACTAGAAGCTAACCTAGGATATAGACAGGTGTACTAGCATTTTAGGTTTCACTAGAAGCTAACCTAGGATATAGATAGGTCTATCTAGAGTCAATGATATACACAGATGTACTAGCATTTTAGGTTTCACTAGAAGCTAATCAATGATATAGACAGGTGTACTAGCATTCTAGGTTTCACTAGAAGCCTATCAATGATATAGGCTTTTGTTAAATAATCTTTGTAACTTAATACTATATTCAGTTGATGTGAGTTGATGCTTGGGCTTGAAGAATTTCTGGTTACTCATTGTTCAGTTGATGTGAGTTGATGCAGGGGCTTGAAGAATTTCTGGTTACTCAATGTTCAGTTGATGTGAGTTGATGCTTGGGCTTGAAGAATTTCTGGTTATTCAATGTTCAGTTGATGTGAGTTGATGCTTGGGCTTGAAGAATTTCTGGTTACTCAATGTTCAGTTGATGTGAGTTGATGCTTGGGCTTGAAGAATTTCTGGTTATTCAATGTTCAGTTGATGTAAGTTGATGCTTGGGCTTGAAGAATTTCTGGTTACTCATTGTTCAGTTGATGCTTGGGCTTGAAGAATTTCTGGTTATTCAATGTTCAGTTGATGTAAGTTGATGCTTGGGCTTGAAGAATTTCTGGTTACTCAGTGTTCAGTTGATGTGAGTTGATGCTTGGGCTTGAAGAATTTCTAGTTACTCATTGTTCAGTTGATGCTTGGGCTTGAAGAATTTCTGGTTATTCAATGTTCAGTTGATGTGAGTTGATGCTTGGACTTGAAGAATTTCTGGTTACTCAATGTTCAGTTGATGTGAGTTGATGCTTGGGCTTGAAGAATTTCTTGTTACTCTATACAATATGGGCATTAATCATTTATACTGACATATCTTGTACTGTAATGTTGAAGAATGTAGTTTATTTTCCACATACCCAACTGTCTTTTGATCAGACAGATATAATCAATTTATACTGACATATCTAGTACTGTAATGTTGAAACCCTGAATGTTGAAGAATGTAGTTTACTTTCCACATATCCAACTGTTGAAACCCTGAATGTTGAAGAATGTAGTTTACTTTCCACATATCCAACTGTTGAAACCCTGAATGTTGAAGAATGTAGTTTACTTTCCACATATCCAACTGTTGAAACCCTGAATGTTGAAGAATGTAGTTTACTTTCCACATACCCAACTGTTGAAACCCTGAATGTTGAAGAATGTAGTTTATTTTCCACATACCCAACTGTTATTTGATCAGACAGATATAATCAATTTTTGTACCAGTTTGTAGGTCTGTTTATTACCAGACCCTTTTTTTAACTAACTATAAACCAGTACATAATTTTTAAAGTCTAGTAATTTCCATGGCTTTGTGGGGGTTTAAGGTGTATTTACCTTGAGAATACCTCAAAAATTAGAATCTTCATGTGTTAAGAATGGTAGTTTGTTTTATTTGTAGCTTAAGAAAAGTTGTTTGTGGTTTACATTAGTTGTTATTATTAATATTATCATCTGTTTGTGGTTTACATTAGTTGTTATTATTAATATTATCATCTGTTTGTGGTTTACATTAGTTATTATTATTAATATTATCATCTGTTTATGGTTTACATTAGTTGTTATTATTAATATTATCATCTGTTTGTGGTTTACATTAGTTGTTATTATTAATATTATCATCTGTTTGTGGTTTACATTAGTTATTATTATTAATATTATCATCTGTTTGTGGTTTACATTAGTTATTATTATTAATATTATCATCTGTTTGTGGATTACATTATTTCAATTTGTTGTTTTTAGCATCATTCATTTTATAAAATGGTGGTGGTTTGTGTTTGTCATGTAAGCATAGATAGAGAACAAAGCCATGTTATAAAATTAAAAAAAAAAGATTTAAAGAAGAGAAAAACAACAACAAAAAAAGAAACATTGGGTCCCAGGGAATGAAAAATATTGACCAGATATCTGACAGCTGTAGCTTGGCTGCTGTAGATCTGCCAACAAACTGGCTTCCTGCCCACCTCCTCTGTAAGAACAGACAACTATATGCATGGGAATGTTTCTAATTTTTCTTCTACATATCTGCACCCACATGTTTAAAGTAGATCACAGCTACATTAAATGCTAACTTATATCCAGTCCTAGTTCTCTAAATATTGTTGTGTGTGTGTGTGTATATATACATACAGTGAGTGGTCACAAGTAAATAGACACCTAATTTTTCGTCATTTAACTGATTCATGCTAACTAATTTGTGTTCACAGAGCACTATATAAATGAAAATGGTCCGTACACTAATTATCTTGTGTTACAAGATGCCTAGAACTCAAGGTTCTCTCGAATTGTCAGATTTTGTTAGAGGAAGGATAGTTGGTCAAGCAGATGGTGGAATAAGTCAGCAGCAAATTTCACAGAATTTGGGAATCCCGCTTTCGACAGTCAACAGAATCATCGTGCAGTTCAGG